CTTCCAAGTATAAGGAGTATAATGTGTTTTGATCCTGGTGTGTACTAAAATTACGCTATTTGGTTTAGACACTGAACTCACTTAGAGTTAGACATTAAAAACTATTCTGTGAGGTTTAGGAAAAGACCAACACAACTATAAATGATTACTTTTAGGTGACGGATTACTCTCAAAAAAGTGCCAAAGATAACCTTGTGTTCAAGAGCATCATCCCATTTTCCTGAGCTTTAGGACACCTTTGACATACATTTGTAAGCATTTTTACAGAGAATAATTGTTGCTCCAAAGCCATCTGCTTGCTAGCAGGGCCTTCTTCATCATCGTCTCCATCCAGGGCCAGGTCAGGCTGAAAGGGCTGAGGAATTTTGTATTTGTATTGATTTGGGATTATGTTATGGTACTATATGATGGAAATCATTTCAGTAAATAATTTGAGACCGATCAAACACAGTTTTCAGTTTTTTTTTACAAATCTCTAATCACTCTCATAGAACTAAAAATGCTGCTCTGTAATTGGTTCAGGTGCTTCAAAAGGCACTAGAGACCCTTTATTGGGTAATTTGCATCCAGGATAACCTGTTATTCTAAGTGCTATACAAATGAAAAAATAGGTGTTAGTTTGGTTCTAAATAATCTGAAATCTGTTGTTGCTGCTCTCATTGTAACATTTATAGAATAATAATGAACGTAAACTTGTAACCACAGCATTTACAAGAATATTGTTGTAACGGAAAATTGCAGATAGCAGTCTCAGTGAATAGCTGTAATTCAACAAACTGCAAGAAGAAGCTTCCGAACTGTGGATGGAATATTTCTTGGAATTTTTTTTGTAACACCTAAAAAGTGTGATGCTCTGAATCTGTTTAATTTCTCTGGCTTTAGGTGGCTTTAGTCACCAGTGTTGGTCAAGTTACTTGAAAAAAGTAATCAGTAACTAATTACTGATTACTTCCCCAAAAAAGTAATCCCGTTACTTTACTGATTACTTATTTTCAAAAGTAATTAATTACTTAGTTACTTAGTTACTTTTTAAAAACACGATTTACAACCTGAAGAGGTGATAAAGCGATAGATCTTTCAGCCCAATTCTACTTTTTCTACATAATCCATCATACAAAATGTAATCAAATGGAAAAGTCTCTTTTTTAAACTTGTTTCATCAGTTTTAATCTTTTAACTTTATGCATCAAGCAAAAATTTAATTATATGCAACATTCTCTGAGTTGAATAAATTAGTTTAACATTTAAACCTATTTTCTGCACATTCCAGCACATAAAATATATTTTTTGTTTACACTCACTCTTTCAAATAGATGCAAGTAAAACACAGCAGAAAATAAATAAAGTCAAAGACTCAGCGGTCCTGTTGCTCTATTTTCACCTGTAAAGCAGGACTGCGGTAGGCGGAGGTTTACCCTGGTGCAGGTGTGCAGCGGTCAGTGGAAGGATACGGCAGTGTCTCTGTGAGTTTCCCATTACGTCGTTGCGCTCTCGGAGCTTGCTTGGAAGTTTAGGGGTTTTTTTCGCTGTAAAAAGAAGTTTTCTTCCCACGCACGATGGACGCTAATGTTTTTGTCACTTTTTATGGAATCAAACTCAAAGTAAGGTCAGTACTTCCACGCTTTAAACGCTGCACGCTCATACTCTCTCCCACAATCGATCTGTGATCCATTGTTGATCTGCACACAGCTGTTGTCACTAACGGCGCACTCGCTTACGTCACTGTCGTGAGACATTCTCGCAAAAAATCACAGTTTTAGTAACGCAGTAACGCAGCATTCCTACAGGAAAGTAACGGTAATCTAACTACCGTTTTTGCAATAGTAATCCCTTACTTTACTCGTTACTCGGAAAAAGTAATCAGATTACAGTAACGCGTTACTGCCCATCTCTGTTAGTCACCTAAAGCCAACATAAAGTGGCTTTAGGAGACTCTTCTGATTTGGTGCTATATAAATAAGATTTAAATAAACTGAACTAAAAATCTAAGTTGGGAATATGTTTTTATATTTATACCCATTAGTAACAAACTGTACACTTGTGGTATACACATCTAATGGTGAACAATACTGCACAATTTTGGTATGATTGCTTTCATTTCCTGTAATTAGCTCCTTTTATTTACTATTATTAAAGGCAATTTAATAGTTCCTGTGAATTCAGTTTCCTCTAGTGGGACACGAAAGATACTGCTGTGCTGTGAGGGCAGTCTGAAACATCAGTCACAGTTTAATATTCCATAAATTATGAAATACAAATGACAGATGAACACTCAGGAAATGAGAGAGGAAAGCTTTCTGGCACAAATCCCAAATGCTGGAAAGTGCTGGACTTTGACTGTTTGATTGCAGAGACAGTCACTGACCTCGCAGCCGCTCATCATGAGAAAAACAATAAACCAAACCAGCACTTAAAAACACCACTGATTTAAACCTCTGTATTCATATTAAAGACATCAACAGCTGCATTATTGGGTTAGGTTGTTACTTTGGGTTCTTCCTCTTTTTCTTCATGTAGTGTGCGCGAGGCTGAAGGTGGAAACGTGACCAGTGACAGAAAAAGATAAACAGGAACGTCTGCACAGTGAAAAAAACAAGGCTGAACTTGAACTTGAAAAAACCACTGACTGAGGACAAAGTCTATCTACCACTACACTATATGTGTTACTCTATAGATTATACTACACACTGTGTGTGTTTTTATGTGTGATCATACACTTTCTCCGCAGATATGTCAGCAGGGTCATCTCAGGGTCTGGGTTCTTCTCAACAATCTGCAGCACAAACACAAATCAATCTTTCAGAGTACAGAGAAGCTCAAAAGTTACATTTTAATCAACATGAAAAGACTAAAAATACACAGAAAAATACACCAGGACACATAAATCAGTGTTTTACAGTTAATTATCAACAAGTTATTCACTGCTCTGAGACAGAAAAGTGATGGCAGCTGAGGTAAACTGAGTGCAGCTCATGTCCTTCCAGTTTAAATTTACAGAAACAAACTAACAGTCAGTTACCAGGAGGACGCTGCAGCTATAAAGTCAAAATAAACTTAATTTACATTAATCGAACATTCTGAATCAGAAATAAAACATTAAATGTTGGTCTAGATTTTAGTAAATAAAAATATACTAAAACTTGCATGGACTCTGGTTTAAGCGTAGTATAACTGACCAATGTAACATTCTGAATATTTTGAATTAATCCTGTATTTTAATGAATGAATCTTTCATTTTGCTCCCTCTCACAAAGCTTTCACTGAGTATCAGCTACACATGCACAGCTTACTATGATTTATTTTACCAGCTTTTTTGTGTTTGTCTCACTTATCAGAAGCAAACTGAATGTCATTATGTGTTTTTAATGCACCGTGTCGCCTGTAAGTCATCAATGTTTTGCTTTCACCAACATTTTGTTCCACATTCTGAAATACTTCAGTTTTTCATCCCAACTTTTTATTCAGCTGAACAAACTTCTGTTTTTTCTAATTACTTTACTAGTTTTTTGCTCACTTGTTCTTTTATTTGTGAAAAAATATAACATTAATAGAATCAATTTACTTGGATTACAATAAAAAAAAATCAGGAGATTCAGCTGCAATTTGAAGCACAGTCTAAATTCTTACATAATTAAGTGTTCATGGTCTTTGTTATCGTTAAGATGGATTAAGCATGATATAAATGTTACAGAGGCAGACTGAGATCACAGTAAAGTCACTACGAATTAGCTAAAAGATGAATATTTTTACCTTCTTCCCATTAACAAAGAAGATGAGTTCATCAGACCCAGACCGGGTCTTGGTTCCTGTCCGGTCCCCCATGTTGCCGGTCTCCTGTGCCCTCTCCATGGTGCTGGTGTTTCTGGTCTTTAATGATCCGGCCTCGTGGGCTCAGTTATCTGGAGGGAGGCATGTCCTGTCCGGCCCCCCTTCTCCTCCCACAAAAACCTGATGGTGCGTTCAGGAGCGTAGCAATCCCTCAGATGTTTCGATCGCGCTCAATAATCAAAGGTTAAATCGTGATCAGTCATGTGCGGATTAACTGATAAAGTCTGAAACTTCTTTTCCCTCACTGTGTGAATGACCTGCAGAACTAACATTGCAGATGTTCCTGTTCTGAACAATTATTCACAGCTATGAGCATACCTGGAGGTCAAAGGTCACAGTCCTGTATAATAGTTGTGTAATAGCTGTAAACTAGTTACTGGATAACTATTATACGAATTTCAAGCTGACACAGCAGCTCACGAGTTCCAGTCTGTCAGGTCAGCTTCCTGCTCAGTTTTTATTTACCTTGGAGTAAAGACTGAAAATTTATCTTTGCATTTGACAGAACCCTCAAACTACATCTATTGACATCAAATACACATGAAAATCATGGTAAATCACAGCTTATCAGCAGCTTTAATGAACAATGACTGGAAACAACAACAAAGTCCTCCCCACTGAAGGTCACAGCCAGAAAACAAACTGTGATTGAATAAAGGTGGAAATAGAGACAAAACCAGAAATTCAAATTTAAAATATGTAACAACAAGATCTATGTAATAAAACAATGATGATAAAGTAAATATAAAACAGATGACTATGAAAACATACTAACATACTCAAATGGAAAAATGAAATACATAATAAACTCAGAATTCAAATGTACATAAATAATGAAAAGAATTATAATTTGTAGTATGAATATAATTCAACCATAAATACCGGTACTGACAAAACAATAAAAAGAAGTAAAAGGTATAAAATGAAACAAATACAGTGAAAACATTTCCTTAAAGTTAAAGTTTTTTTTTTAAACATAACACCAGTTTTTAAGAGTTTATTCATTTTAAAGAGTTTAAATCCACTACATCGCCATCAGCTCAAAGTGTAAAACAATTAATTCAGTGATTTTAAACTTTATATCATTATTATTATTATTATTATTATTATTATTATTATTATTATTATTATTATTATCATTATTATTATTATCATCATCATCATCATCATCATCATCATCATCATCATTATTATTATTATTATTATTATCATTATTATTATTATATGGTTTATAGACTGTAGAGCGGAAATATTTATTCATGTCACAAGACCTGTCAGCCAACATGCAGTTTTGTAACACAGCACAATGAATAGACTGCTTTCTCCTCACACATACATCAGATCACTCACAGACTCATGTGATCTGGATTCCAGCTGTGAATCCATTTGATTTGCCCTCCGTAGCCTCAAAGGCCCCCGCTTATAGTCAGGAGATGCTGATAAATGAAAGTTCAACCAGACTCCACACAATTATTCTGCTTCTCTGTTACACATGTACATGGATGTGTTTGTTGTGGAGGATTTTAAGGTTTATACAAGAGACAAATAGAACTGTTTTGCCTATAAACAACTGACTTTTAAATTCACAGTCACAGTGGGCCTATGACTGAGCCCTGAGGTACATCATATTTAATGGCGCTGGCTACAGTCTTCACATGAGGTTAGCCAACAAATATTAACGGTGAAAGTCGTTTTTAAAGTAGTTCCATTTTAAAGTAGTAGTGCCATTCTAGTTTGATTTGCTAACAGAAAGCATTTAGTGTTTGTACGACCCGAAAGTTTCCTAAAACACATTTTCCATCTCAGTCCGCTTATGGCAAAAACAAATTAAATTCTCTTTATATTATAAGGTTTTTCACAACATGATATGAATCAACCATGAACTTGAACATGTACTTAGTAGGTCTTTCAATTAGGTAAAGAAAACCTCAGCAGAACTACAAAACATGACATACTGAACCATTTTATTATTTTTTAAACAAAAATTAAGCCAGAATGCACGAGTAGTGTGTGAAACACACGGAAAGCTGGTGGTTTGGAAGGGCTGCCTTCCAAAATTTAAACACAGTTTAGGTTTGCAAAGTAGCATCTGAACAACCCACAAGACTTCTGGAACAATGTCTATGGGACAGACAAGACCAAAGTGGAGATGTCTGGTCGTAATGCACAAAACCAAACACAGCGTTTCAGCAAAAACACTTCATACTAACCATGAGCAATTGGTCTTGTGGTTTTGCAACGGGACTCGGGCAGTTGCTGAGTCAACCGTGAATTTGAACATGAAATCTGTACCAGTGAATTCTAGAGTCAAGTGTAACTCTGTGTCCAAACTTGGACCTGTTGGTCATACTGCAGGACATACATGGCATACTGCAATATGTCATTTGTTGTTATTCACCTGAGTCGTAGTTGTCCCTGTAAGGTCCAGATTACTTATATAATTTTCTGGTATATTAACCTTTGAATTAACGCAGCATCTACTTTCCTTTTCCTGTGACTTTTACTTTCAGCAATGACAAGAGTCATAAGATTGAGCACTGAGGTACATTTAATACAGGCTTCACATAAGATTAGATTTACATCATCCTAATCTAGTTATGGAAAGAACAACAACCACCCTGTTAGTAGTTACACCTAAGCTGGGAGCTGGATTTACTAAAAGAAAAGTTTCAGTGTTTTTAGAAATGAAAAATCTACTCAAGTTTAAAGGTAAACACATGTGAAATTAGCAATTTCTCTTTTCCTGTTTATTTTATTAGAATAACAAAATAGTATCATTAACAGCTGTCAAATATTAGGCAGATCTTTAATGTAAATTAGCCACAATATAAGAGCGCTCAAACATTTAACCATAAAAAAACACTGCAAGGGACAAACCCACGTTTATTTTTCCTTTTTATTTATTTATTTTTTAAATCAACGCTTCTTACAGACACACTTTGTCCTCTGTAGACAAACAAAGTTCTGTCATAACTTAATGTGTCTCTTATATATCCACAAATCTAAAATATCTAAATGTAAAGTGCTTTGATCCTGAAATGTTTTTGGTCCTGCACGCGGCTCCATCTGGTGGTCAGACAAAGTTATGACAATTTTAAAAAAAATTGCTAGAAGAGTTTGAAACCTTTAACAGCAAGAATAAAAACACAGTAAATAAATGCTTAATATAAGAAATATAAGAAAATTCTTCACACTTTCATAAAATCTTTTTACAAATATGTTTTGTAAAAAGTTACATGTTGTGTTAAAAATGTAACTATAATCTTTTATTGACTTAAAACCCATAGTTTCATATGAGGAAATCAAACCTACACAAACACATAAAATAAAACATGAATGTTTTTCTGCATCAAAGTCTTGGCAGAATGACGAGTCTTATAAAGGAAGGCTGCTTGAATATCCAGAATAAACCTTCAGGAATCCACTTAGAAACCAGAGTAACAGACACATGAGAAGTCCCCTGAGAATCTGTCTACTTTTAACTTTCCTTCAGTGTCTCAGTGATTAGTGATGTTTAATTTGCACATGCATGATTCCATGTTGTTAGCTTTGCTCTGCAAAGCACCACAGGAGCTGTTTGTTCCAAAACACAGAGCAAAAGTACAACAATCCATCACCATCATTACTGATCTTTCTTTTACTTTAAGACGATGCAGATGAATGTTCAAACTCCTTACCCCCTTCAACATTTCAGCTTTCACAAATGTTGACAGTTTTACCTTTTACCCTCAAAACCAAACCTTTTTTTCCTCCTCACGACGCCTCCACCAGGTGGAAGCCTCCGTTCTCCTCCCTCATCTTCTCCCTTTTCTGGGCTTGAACCAAACTGTAGACCACAGCTCCCAGTGTGTTCCTATTGAGGCTGAAGCCCCGCCCCCCACCACGCTCTATAAAGCTGGATCGCTCCTCCCGACTGCTCACGAAGTATGTTCGAACCTGAAGGGAAAACACTTTGATCAGTGGTGTGTACAGTTTATGTAACTAATACATTAAACATGATATTTTTCTTATCTGAAATATTTTTCTCATGTTTATGAAAAGTTCTGTTTATATTTTTGGGGTAAAAATGTATAAAAATGATCTCCTTGTGTTAGGCAAATTTTACAAAAATGTATGACACACTTTTCCTGCACAATTGTGTCATGCACTTTCTCATCATTTTGACTTCTTTTGATTTGTATGATAAAAATTCCGAATTTTTTGTCATACTCTTGATATATACTTTTTTGTTTAAATATAAACCCTCCAAGTTAAAATGCAGTTTTTTTATGTTATGTTAATTTTATGTTAAATGTAACTATTTTCAAACTCATTTGTTCATACCTGCACCTAAATCTCATAGTTTAGATCTTTAGGTCATGTGTGTGGTCACATGATGATGATGGCTCACCTTTCCGTGGCGTTCACTAATCCCTTTGAGATAAACGTCCCCTCTGAGCTGCCTCAGAAAGCCTCGTTCAACCAGAATAGAGCTGGTGTGTTCTGAGACCTAAACACAAAGGATGACATTTAAAAACCCGTTGAAGTGATGACCTCATGTTTCTGCAAACAGGTGAGCTCACCTGTATCCGCCCGCTCACACCGGTGCTCTCCATCCTGCTCGCCATGTTCACCGTCATCCCCCAGATGTCGTACTGAGGTTTGGTTGCTCCAATCACACCTGCTATCACCGGACCGTGAGCCACACCTTGAAGTGATGTTAGAGGTCAAAGGTCATGGAGTGTTTAAATAATACACAATAATAATAATAAGGGAAAAAGATACACTTCATATTTTTTTTAAAATTTTGCTAAAGCTTTTAAAAATGTAATAATAATAATGAAAATAATAATATTACATTAAACTTTGTTTAAAAATTATTTTCTAGACATGTTTGTAATTTTGTAATTCTTTTAAAAAGTTCATTATTCAAAAACATTATATTAAAATATTTGTTACTGTTTACCAATGATTCATTTAAAATATATAAAGAAGAATGATTTTTAAAGAATCCATTTCAACGAATTTTAAAGAATGATTTTTTATAGATAAAATAAAAAGAAGTAAATACATTTGTGAAATTGTTCATTATTACATTTCTGATGTTTTTATGATTCCCATTCTTGATGAAAATCTTTCACCTTTGCACCTAAACTACTGGTTTAACTGTTTGTTTAAAACTTTCAAATTCTCCCTCTAAACTCTTTCTAACTCATGAAAATGTAGAGATTTTTATTTTTTTCTTTGAGTACTAAAGTGGTATTTGTGTGTGTGTGTGTGTGTGTGTGTGTGTGTGTGTGTGTGTGTGTGTGTGTGGTACTTACCAATACGGAGCTGGAAGTTGTTTCCTGTCTGTGTGTTGATGTGTTTGAGAGTTTCCTGCATAGCAAGTGCGAACAGGACCAACTCACTGAGGTGATTCCAGCCATCCTCACAATCCTGAACACACACATGCACGTCTGAATGATGAGTGTATGGACATCAGAGCCTTTGACAAGAGGCTCAGAGGGAGCATTTAAGTGTTGTGATGTAACAGCAGGACTCACCTGCCTGTCAGGTGAGAGGCCTGAAGCTGCCATGTAGCAGCTGCCAGTGGTTTTGATCTTCTCCACCTGCTGAAAGTAGCATTCATCCAGCAGCTACCAACACACAAACACAAAGGTAAAAAATACTACATTTAATAAAGTTTACAAAACATATCTCGTTTGTGTGTGTGTGTGTGATTTATGACCTCATCAAAGTCGCTGATGACGTGGTTAAGGAGGCGGAGACACTCAACATGCTGATGAAGGACCTCCTTTTCCTCGTAGAAGTCGGAGAATCCGGGCAGAGAGGCAAACAGCACGCCCACTCGCTCATACGACTGTGAGTACAACTCCTGATAACACACACACGCGCACACACACACGCACGCGCGCGCGCACACACACACACACACACACACACACACTTTAATGCTCTGTTAATATGACTCATACTAATAGAATAAGTAAATATCGATTATTGATCAGGCCTACTGGTCATGAGGTCTGAGGGCATATGTCACACCTTGCATTTAAAGATGAGAAACAATTATACAAAAACTTGAAAAAGTCACGAAAGACTCAAAAAATGTGCAAATGGCCACAAAATATTATCTAAACCACTTCCAATTCTTACAAAGTCTCAGCTGTTCTATACAGTAATTTATATATATATATTTATAATAAATATAACTGTACGAGTGTTGTTTGTTTTTAATTTTTAATTTTTTAGAAATCACGTGCCTAAATTTTATCAAGGCTGAAAGTCTGGAGGAGTGGCCTCTGGATGACAGGTGGATGATGATATAGGAGGTTATACATCTGAGCTAATTGGAAAATCTAAACTCTGACCTCAGGACAGTGTTTGAACTGATTTGTGTAATTTGGTAATATACAGAATCACATCATGAGTATACAGTGATATTTTACCCTCTTTTTGGACCTTTTTTCGGAACACTTCACTACAATTATCTGACCAATAATATGTCTGCTGCATGGTTACTTGCACTCATAAATCACCCAAGAAGTCTGTGCTCCTGTTTTGCTGAAGGAAGTCTAGGATTTTTTTACACACTGATTAACAGTTATCTGTGTCTGTGTAATGGTCCCAGTAGTCCTGTGATGCTCCCATGGCCAGAGCATGATAATGAAGTTAGCTTTGATTAACTGATAACTTCGTTATCCTCTCTCATAAAGATATGGTCACTTCTGACTAGAAAAAACTAAATGACAGTGACCAGAATGCTAATGCTGAAGCTCCAAAACTCAATAGGAAATCAAGTTGGCTGCTATGTGAAAGGCATCAGGTACCTCATCATTGCGGTCTCTCTCCAAGAAGTGCTGGGCAACATGTGCGGGCAGGATATTGAGCAGCAGACACTCATTGTGCTCCCGCTGCTCCTTCATGTCCTCCACCTCCTTCTTTGCCTGAAGGCCCCAGAGGAAGTCCAGCCGTGCTGTCGCCTCCAGCTACCAGTGAAGAAATGGAAGAGGGAAGTGGTGGATATTAGCATACTGAATTCATATCAGGGTTATCATTGTTTGCTTGATAGCAATAAAAGCTGGTAGCATGTTTAACAGAATCCACCTGTCTGCTGTTGAAGAGGACAGCCACCACAAACATCAGCATAAGAACAACACAGACTCCATTCCTGCACAAGTGATGAGACCTGACAACAACAGAGGAGACCACATTTTATTTTCCACACCTTTACACAAAAACACAGGAACATGACCTGAATGGAACTTGTACCTGTAATTCTTGATTATGTAGGTGTAGAGGGCAGCAAACAGCAGTAGAACGGCCAGCTGCAACACGCAGCTCAGTCTGAGGAACACGGCACAGGTAACCATAGCAACCACGCCACTTAGAACCATGTACTGTACACAGAAAGGCCAGTGATAATTTTAAAAATGGTTACTGACTAATCAAAACAATGTCATCATGATTTTGAGCTCATGTGATGTTTGAGTGTTCACCTCTGGATATGTGCAAATGTTGATATCGGTCCAAGCCGAGGGAGGCGGAGCCAGCAGGGAGTCCCTGTTGCTGATGTCAGTTTCTGATGAATCACACCACAGCTAGTGGAAGCAAGCAAGAAGCTTTCTAACAAGTTATTTTGTACTAAATTCTTTGTACTAAAGCCTTTCAGTAAGTTGCTGGAAGAAGCTATTATTCCCACTGAGGTTTTTAAAAATGTTTAACATAGAAGGTTGGTTGTCAGTATATGGGAAATCATAATAGACAATAAGATGTGCACGTTATTGCAGGTGAGTCATTACTTTTTGGCACAAAATACCAAGAAACTAAACGAAAACACTAGCAATGCAAAAATGGAGGGACTTCTTGAAATGCTTCAAACAAACATTCCCATTGTTGTAAGAAAATTTTTAATTTTATCTTATGTTGCTGTTAACACTGTTCCAGTGCAACTAAAGAATGTGTAAATACACATTTTTAGTTGTTGAAACGACAATACTGTCAAAGTGATGTAATTTCACACTTCGTTTACAGAGAACACATTTTTGCAAAACTTTAGAAATTCAAGGTGATTACAATCAATACTCTTGATACTCTTTTATACTGATGGAGACTCATCATCAAACAGTAATCCTCACACTGTGTTGTGTCAACATTGCTGCTTAAAATGTAAAACAATATTTTTGGAGAATTCATTTTCCCCCAAATTGCTTCATTCTTTGCATTTCTCAGCATTCACATCAGCAACTGTTACAGAAGTGATGCTGAGGCGGACAATGATGTTCTTTTAATCGATTTAATATGTTAGCTTGTTTGGTTTTCAAATCTTTTCTTCTGATCGTTCGGTATTTATGACCTATAACATATCTTAGTTGTTGATTTGATAAAAACAATATCAGACTTACAATGTCTGCAGAGGCGATTCCAAAGTTGACAGTGATGGCAGTGAGTGTGAGCAGCATGCGGGCACTCTTGTTTTCATGCACCCAACAGCAGATTGACTGGAGGGGAGCAGGACAATGCTTAAATTCCTCCCCCAGAGTCAGCAGCAAGAGCAGGAAGTAAATGCCGCCACTGACCACAAACTGAACGACCATTGGACACAATCTGTGGGAACAAAAAGTTACTAAACACACACATGTCAGCTGTTATAGAAGTTCCGGTCAGCATGAACAAGATGTTTCCTCTCCTTGTATAACATTTATAATATTTTTAAGGGGAAAACAAATTTGTTTCATCTTTAGCTTCATTTATCTCTAAGCATGACCAGATAAATTATTATATCGAGCCAAAAAGTGCAGAGAAACAATTGGTACCTGGTCCTATGCAGATGATTTTCTCTTTTAGATGTGAGGGCTGTTAAAATAATATCTATTAACATAAAAAACAAAAAAGCATTTGCAGAAGCTTGTTTTTGTACTGTTACATTTTGGTGCTGAAAAGATCACAAAGTCTTATATATTCAATACATATTTAATTACAGCTGCTCATTAACACAAATATCTAATCTCATGGCAGCAATTTAATGTATTTGGCATGTAGACACGGTCAAGATAAAGGTCAGAATGGAAAAAGGTGATTTCAGTGACTCTGAACGTGTTACAGTAGAAAGTAACACTAGTTGAAATATGATCAGGACCAATAGCAGTGTCTTCAGTTTTATCTGAAGAATAAATACAAATTCTATGGTTTTGTTTTTTACAACATGTTAAGCTTATGTTTTTCCAATTGTTGGATAATTGGACAAACATCATTTACAATTATTTACATCATTTAACAAAAGGAAAATCTATACCTTGGGGCTGGGATTAGCACCTGGACTGTCATTAAAAGCAGCAGCAGAATGAAGGAGCAAACCATGTTAGATTTGAAGAGTTCGTCTCTCATCTGAGAATACTGAGAGACAAACATTTTATTAATGACTGTTTTCAAGGTGCCAGTTTCACCCCCCCCCCCAAAAAAAAAAACTACTAAGAAAACAGATTCTCGTGTTACCTTTCCCTCCACATGGGAGTCCTTAAACACCTGAGTAAAGGTCGTGATGTGCTCCTTCCTCATTCGCTCACTGCTGCGCACCTCCATGGCCTGGCGAATCCTCTTGTTCACCTCCCGTGTTCCTGAGCGCTGAGCTGCTATATTATTGGGCAGCTGGGTCAGTGAACCATTGGTAAAAGTAGCAAGGATCTGTGAACCAACAAAGAATACAACAAAAGGTCAAAGGTTATTGAAATTCAATCAGAAAAGTACTAATGGACTTTGAATCTGTCTTCTGCACTCACAAAATTCTTTCCTAGGATGTCTCCAAATGGCAGCTCAGCACTCCACGTTGTTATCTCGTCATAACTGGGGCGCCTTGCTTTAGGCGGCTCCACATCTTCCTTCGATGCCGGACGGACCAGGTATGTGTCGATGTTGTGTTTCCGTAGAAACTCGCTACGATCCTGGCCATGTCCCGCCTCTGTCTCATAGATCCCACCCAGACAGTCCAGAGTGGCCTTGGAGATGTGAACCTGACTGAAAGGAGATTAAAATGTACAACGGTGTTACATGAACACATCACAAAAATCTTCTGTATTTTAATCATTAAGATTAACTTTATGGGATGACACCTATAGCAAACTGCAGTTTGGCAATTAAGTAATAAGGATATATTATGTATTAATTTGTCTTACCCAGGCACTCCTGCAGCCTCCAAACTGTTGGCGACGTCCACGTCCCAGCTCCAGATGTCAAACTGCCACTTCTGAAGACCCAAAACACCACAAAGAACGGAGCCAGAGTGGACGCCTATTCGCATGTCCACCTCCTGCTGGAGCTCCCGACGAACGTAACTAAAATGAAATACACCTATGAAGTTTTGTGGAAACAGCTGTAGGGATGTGTTAGCCACAGATGATTGGTACCGTATAGTGTTGATCATACTGAGGCCCATCTCCACACAGCAGCGGGCATGTCCTCTCTGAGGCTCTGGGACTCCTGATACGCAGTAATAACAATCACCCAGAATCTTAATGCGCAAACACTGGTGGTCCTGTACTCAAACACAGGGCAAAAAAGAAAAACTGTGGCCTTGTACATTTAAAAAACACTAAATAAATAAATAAATGGCAAAAGCCAAATAAAGATTAAATTCAAATGAAAAAACTTTATACAAAACTTAACAAAAGAACCCCTAGTAGAATAACAAATACACCAATCCTTTAACTGGTACAAACACATAAAACAGGAGCTGATGCAGTTGACAAGGTGATCTGACCTCAGCCAGCCTGTCGAAGCGACCAAAGAGTTCATTGAGGGTTTTAACGAGATCCTGAGCCGAAAGAATCAATGACAGCGATGTGAAGCCGATGATGTCTGCAAACAGGATGCTGTGGAGAGGCAAAATTCTCATCATGAGAATATCATTTTAATCCCACTGAAACCAATGTAAAACCACTACTGCAATACGTTTTTGGCTAAATGACCTTTACATATTCTTTATTCATCCTCTACATTTTTAACTTTACAATCTGTAATGAAATCATCGAAATAATTTATAAAACCACTAACAATACCTGTTCAGTCTTATTTTACATTAGATGAAAGCTAAAAACTTCTTTAAGAAATTATGCCTTTGCATTATTACTGGTGTTGTTGCAGAACAAAAAATCACACCTGCTGGATGTTCAAGCGTTAATCAATTTTGGGGGCTTTTTTTTTTTTTAAAGTAGATAGAAAGATGGGACAGTGGAGGAAGAAACTCAGCAAAAGTCCATGAGTTGGACTACGTTATAGCTGTGTGGTATGTGGTTGGCTCCACAATTAGTAAGCTAAACTAGAGCCTAAAGTTAGAGGTTTTTGATAAAAAAAAACTCTGTGGTTAAAGGTTAACTGCTCATTTGACTGCCATAACAAGTCATTTCACTCGATACAATAACTATAGTAGAGTTGTTAGTCTGTTGAAGTTCCTCAAAGTTCTTCATTCTTTTAAAACTCCATTTATAGCATGTGTGTCCAGCTGGCTCGTCATCATAAAGAAGTGGGTTGTATTACCTGACATCCTTGTAATGGTGAATGTAGATCTTGTGCAACTGCTGAGGCAGCAGATAATCTTCCATGACGGCCATGTCACCAATCATCTCAAGCACCAGAAATTGAGGTAGGATTGACATCACCAGGCGTTCCTGACAGCACAAAGACGCACACATCATTAGCTTTAGGATATATGAGGTCCAGACATATCCCAAATACTTTGTTTCACATGACTTGCTACCTAGCTGTTTCTTAGTTAAACATCTTGTTACGTTGGTCAGAAAAATGATGATTTGACTTTATGCTGATAACTGAGATCATTAATAAATAGATGAATAGGTTGACCACATTTACAAATGATCCTAATACTTCTTCCACTTCAATAGGGACACAAAAGATTAGGGAACCCTTAAATATCATCCTCACTTGTCTGTTGTTCTCCCTCTCTAGTCTGACTCGTCCTTCGATACAGCGCCTGGTCTCCAGAAAAGACTGTCTCTGAGTCCAATCAGACAGGTAGTGAATGAACAGACCCGCAGTGTTCATAGCCAGATACAGCAGAGCCTTGGACAACACCTGCACGTGTACAACCAGACAGTTAACTGCACAGTGACAGAAAGCAGCCAATAACATGTAGCAATTTTGTTACCTTTCTGATGAAGCTGTGGTCATTATAGTGACAGCAGAAATCCACCAGGAGGTGCAGAGTGGAGGTGGTTCCCCCCGCAATGATGGACCAGAGGAGGGGGAGGGGCAGGAGGGTGTAAGTGGAGAAAAGCGTGAAGAAGACATACCAAGAGTGATCGCTCTCCGCCCAACTGAAAACACCAACCAGCACTTGGAAGGTCTGAGACAGCCAGCTGACCACTGACAGATACCTGAGGTAGATTTAAAGGAAGAACAGGTCACTGTCTTCAAATTTTTAAGTGAAACATTTTCAGAATAAGACTCTGGAAAACTGAAGAATTTTAGAGGTTCCTTCGGCTTCTGAAGTCGTAGTTCTTCTTTCCTTTTCTGGAGAGAATAACAAACGTTCTTCCAAAAGAATTTATGACATCTTACAGCTTTCAATGTCAGGAATTTGTTTTAGAAAATCACTTCTGTGTTGGTAAATGCAGTCAAGCAGTCACATTGACTTATCTGGGGTTTAAAATTTGAGCTACTGTTTAGATTCTGCTGGTAGGATGAAATGTCATCTGCATATAACTTGATATTTATCTTAAAGAAAACTAAACATGCCCTCTGCAGTGCAGTGCTTCTTTCCTAATAACAGCCAAATAAATAAACAAATAAATCCATATTGTTTCGCACATCAAGGTACTATAATATTAGCGACAGATTACATTAAAAGACATAGTAACTTAGTTCATGTAGGATGTCGCTAAGTTGGCACAGAGATCCTTATAAGGAGCCCTCCCACATAGCAAGCAGGTCTGCTACATCCCAGTGTACCTAAGCCACTGAGGTGATGACAAGACTTCCTTTCTGGTCAGAACCACCAGGCAGATTCCTATCCACAAGACTACAGACAGACCGGTAAGCCAATCACAGGCCATGCCCCACCAGCCCAGTGGCCATGTCAGCAATGAGACAAGAAGGCGGGTCAGGATGTCAACGACAACAGTGACGACCAGTGAGGTTCTTCTCTGAGCCGAGGAGAACTGCTGGTAGAGCTGCTCCAAGTCTGCAGACCTGAAGAGGTTATAAGCGTCAGCATTACTTATTTTTATACCATTGACAATAAGCAACAATATAGTCAATAAGACACCTGAATAAATAAAATAGGCAAGTAAAGATTTATGATTAAATATGTAAAAAATTCTAAATACTATCAAAGTTTATGCTACAAAGCATATTTAAACAAAGATCATTAATTTTATGACTGTATCATAATTGTTATTATACAGCTAATAATTGTATGGTTTTTAGTTAAAATGTCCATTTGAATGTCTTTACTTGAATTTGTGCTGCAGTGTGGGGATGAAGACGCCTCGCACCGTCCACCCAGACGACACAAAGAAGTCAGCATCACTGAGTGGGTCGTGTTTGCTCTGTGTTGCTGTGGTGACTGTTGGGTGAATGCGAGCTGCTGACGAACGGCGCTTCTGCCAAAATACTCCACGAGACGCTTTATTGCGGATCTGCCTGCAAGACAACACAGACCAAAGAACTTGTGTAATACTTCAAGTTTGATTTAAGAGAATAGACAAAAAAATTATGTGAAAAACGTTTTTTTTTTTGTTAAATGTTCTTAATTCAGTAACTTATAAACTGTTTTGGATAAGGATAACTTGTATTAATAATTAAGATGCCGACAGTTCATACATTTATTAAGGTTATTCAATCAATTCAATCATGAAATTACTATGAATCAATGTATTTTTAATAAACACATAAATTATTCTGGAAGGAATGTAAAATAACACTTTAAGTAACTTTAGGATTACATTAATTTGTACATTAATCAGGAAAAATTCACATTTTAGGAGTTAACTAATATGTTTATAGTTAATTAACGATCAAGAAAAAAGTAATCAGGAATGTTATTTCAACGTTTTAATTGAGATCATTTGCAATTTCATCAGGATGAAGTTAACCTTAATACCAACGTTTATTATAGTTAAGGTTCAGTTAACTCAGAAATCAGTTTCTTTTTACCTGTTGATGTCCGCGATGTAGGCATCGGTGACTTTGATATGGTGCTTGCCTCGCTCCAAACCCCCAGCGAGCCTCAGTGTGTACAGGTTGTGCTGGTCAATGATGTTCCTGACGGCGTTCTGCCACAGCAGCTGCTTCCTGCGCAGGTTGGAGGTGGGGCTTATCCCGGTGCTAAAGGTGATGTCGCTAGTCTGCCGCGCCGCCTCACAGTCACCATTTAACAGCTCGCTGCAATCTTCACCCATGGTTACAGAGTTGTAAGGCCTGGCTCTTCTGTGAGCTGATTGGTGTCAAACAGATTTACATCAGTGATAACAGCAGCAAAAATTTTCTGTCTTTCAGTGTTGAGGAAACATCCAGGCTCCCGTACACAGGGCTGAAAACAAACCAGAAGAAGCACTTAGAAAAAAAGTGGCACCAGTAATGATGATTTGTCATTAAAATCCATTTTACACAAAATAATTGCCTAAGGAGTGTTACTCAGTAAATACAACAACCTTAAATTACATCAGCGCATTTAACGTTATGTATATATATATATTTTTGAAGTTTGTTAACTGCATTGAATAATGCACACTGTATAGTTGTGTAAATGTGCTTCACTAAGTAATTGTGATCCTTCATTCAGTTTGGGTGTGTGCAGATTTGGCTTTTGTGGGTGTGTAACAGATTTCCAGTGTAAAAGTCACTTTGACTAATTTTGTTCAGGCTTGTGCTTAAAATGTTAATAAAATCAGATTTTCTGTACTTGTGCGGTGCATGGGACAATTTTAATTTCTAGTAAATAACATATTTTTTTTTATAGAAGCTGGTGTTGATGGTGATGATATGACGTTTGTCCAAGTGATGAAGTCCACTCAGGTTTTAGTTGCAATCACTGAATAAGGTGTTTATTTGATATATCAGTGCAAATACCCTCCAAATTATAATGTAACATATTTGCATTTCCTCTAAGACCAGTTTTGTTTTTGTTTTGTTTTTTGTAATGACAACTTACTAAATTTTACAGTGTGGTGGAGTTGAACCCAAACATGGGATAAAAGGAGGGATGCAGTTTGGACAAGCTAGCCACTTCATAGCTTTTCAGTTTTTACACTTACAGTGGGGCAAAAAAGTATTTAGTCAGCCACCGATTGTGCAAGTTCCCCCACTTAAAATGATGACAGAGGTCAGTAATTTGCACCAGAGGTACACTTCAACTGTGAGAGACAGAATGTGAAAAAGAAAATCCATGAATCCACATGGTAGGATTTGTAAAGAATTTATTCGTAAATTAGGGTGGAAAATAAGTATTTGGTCACCTCAAACAAGGAAAATCTCTGGCTCTCACAGACCTGTAACGTCTTCTGTAAGAAGCTTTTCTGTCCCCCACTCGTTACCTGTATGAATGGCACCTGTTTGAACTCATCATCTGTATAAAAGACACCTGTCCACAGCCTCAAACAGTCAGACTCCAAACTCCGCCATGGCCAAGACCAAAGAGCTTTCGAAGGACACCAGGAAAAGTATTGTAGACCTGCACCAGACTGGGAAGAGTGAATCTACAATAGGCAAGCAGCTTGGTGTGAAAAAATCAACTGTGGGAGCAATCATCAGAAAATGGAAGACATACAAGACCACTGATAATCTCCCTCGATCTGGGGCTCCACGCAAGATCTCATCCCATGGGGTCAAAATGATCATGAGAACGGTGAGCAAAGATCCCAGAACCACACGGGGGGACCTGGTGAATGACCTGCAGAGAGCTGGGACCAAAGTAACAAAGGTCACCATCAGTAACACACTACAACGGCAGGGAATCAAATCCCGCAGTGCCAGACGTGTTCCGCTGCTGAAGCCAGTGCATGTCCAGGCCCGTCTGAAGTTTGCCAGAGAGCACATGGATGATACAGCAGAGGATTGGGAGAATGTCATGTGGTCAGATGAAACCAAAGTAGAACTTTTTGGTATAAACTCAACTCGTCGTGTTTGGAGGAAGAAGAATACTGAGTTGCATCCCAAGAACACCATACCTACTGTGAAGCATGGGGGTGGAAACATCATGCTATGGGGCTGTTTTTCTGCCAAGGGGACAGGACGACTGATCCGTGTTAAGGACAGAATGAATGGGGCCATGTATCGTGAGATTTTGAGCCAAAACCTCCTTCCATCAGTGAGAACTTTGAAGATGAAACGAGGCTGGGTCTTCCAACATGACAATGATCCAAAACACACCGCCCGGGCAACAAAGGAGTGGCTCCGTAAGAAGCATTTGAAAGTCCTGGAGTGGCCTAGCCAGTCTCCAGACCTCAACCCCATAGAAAATCTGTGGCGGGAGTTGAAAGTCCGTGTTGCTCGGCGACAGCCCCAAAACATCACTGCTCTCGAGAAGATCTGCATGGAGGAATGGGCCAAAATACCAGCTACTGTGTGTGCAAACCTGGTAAAGACCTATAGTAAACGTTTGACCTCTGTTATTGCCAACAAAGGTTATGTTACAAAGTATTGAGTTGTATTTTTGTTATTGACCAAATACTTATTTTCCTCCGCAAAAGTTGAATTCCAGACAATGGCGGCAGCTACTTAGTTGTAATATTACTCTTTCTGGGTCACAAAATACACTTTTAAGATATTTTGAGGCGTGAATGTAGTTGTGTAAACGTCAGATACCTGCTCGGTTTACAAGACATCATATATTTGCAAAAGTGCTCCGAGTTTTTGGAGATCTGACACCCACTAGCTCGAAGCTAACGGGAGGTCGAGACCTACTACAGCTGGGAGAGGAACACCGCTTTCCCGGCACATCGTGCCTCGACCTCCCGGTCGGCTTCGAGCTGGCGGCCTCCGAAGAATGCGGCTAAAACTTTTGCGAGATCTCGCAATACTTTTGCGAGATCCCGAGTTTGTTTTGCGAGATCTCACAAAAGTCCATCTTAATTTTTTTTTTCTCCCTAATTTTTTTTTCCTCCCATGTCCCCTGCGGGGCTCCGTAGGTGAGTAATAACCACAATCAATAATTTTTTTTCAATAGACCCTGTAGTTTTTAAAATATTGATCTCTACCAAACGGTTGAGATGTCACTTCATGGTAAAAGTATGAAATGTCATGCAAATACAAGTACAGTAGATAATCTATAACTATCCAGGGCATTGGATACAATTTATTTCTAGTAGCATGCCAGTCAATATTGCTGGTTTTCATTTCATCAAAGGAAACTATTATATCAAACAACAAAATACATTTTTTTTTTTAATCTGCAAATGTGAAAAATGTGCAACAGCACAAAATACTCACATTCGGGCCACTTCTGATTGAATGCTACTGTGCAAAATCATTTTTGTTTAAAAAAAAAATAAAAAACTAAAGACAGTGCAAATCAATCACATCTGCTTGTAGTTTTGGTCGTTGGGGTCTTAGGGTGTAGCATTTACTCTGTGGTCTTGGAGAACTGAATCATGGTTGTCCAAATCTAGATGCTGGCTTGTTAACTTGGTTCCGACACAGCCAGGTGGAAACCTTTTGAGAGCCATTGGTTTCTGGTCCAGTAGGGCACAGTCCCTCTTGTAGACCAGGTATTCAAGTCAAAGATGTATCCGAACAGTGGAATATGCCATCTCCTTAACTTGTAACTTATAACTTGTCTTATACAGGAGTAATAGCATATCAGAAAGTTTAATTCCTCCCATATGCTAATTATATACAGGGATGAGTGATGGGCATGGAATGGTGATCTTTGCACTGGACTCTTTACTCCACCGTTTGACCAATGAAAGAGGCATGAACCCACAGGCATTGTTTAGGAGGTTGACACATTTCTTGTCAAACCATTTCATTGCAATCAGACCTTCATCAGACCTTGTGGCTTCATATGAAACCATGACCTCAAACACACTGTGGTTGAAGGTGGATGGTATCATGAGTATCATGCCACAGGACGTATGATTTTTAGCCATATAATTGTTTAGCGTCCATATAGTACTTGTTAAACATGAAATTATAATTTTGACAATTTAGTAATATTAATTTACCAGCCACTGTAATTTGGTTAAAAGGTAATCGGTTGTGATATTTGTGATTTCCACATGTTATTCTTGATTTTTACAATATTTAGTAATATTAACTCAGAAAGTTACAAAAATGACTTACTGAGGAAATTATTTCAGCATATTCTTGCTGTGCTAACACTTAATGTGCAGTGTTGGGAAGGTTACTTTTAAAATGTATTCCACTACAGATTACAGAATACATACCCCAAAATGTATTTTGTAACGTATTCCGTTACGTTACTCAATGAGAGTAACGTATTCTGAATACTTTGGATTACTTAATATATTATCATGCTCTGAACGGATAATTGGAGGTGAGCTTCCCTCCCTCCAAGACATCTACAGGAAGCGGTGCCTGAGGAAAGCGGGGAGGATCATCAAGGACGCAAAAATTTTCTGTCTTTCAGTGTTGAGGAAACATCCAGGCTCCCGTACACAGGGCTGAAAACAAACCAGAAGAAGCACTTAGAAAAAAAGTGGCACCAGTAATGATGATTTGTCATTAAAATCCATTTTACACAAAATAATTGCCTAAGGAGTGTTACTCAGTAAATACAACAACCTTAAATTACATCAGCGCATTTAACGTTATGTATATATATATATATTTTTGAAGTTTGTTAACTGCATTGAATAATGCACACTGTATAGTTGTGTAAATGTGCTTCACTAAGTAATTGTGATCCTTCATTCAGTTTGGGTGTGTGCAGATTTGGCTTTTGTGGGTGTGTAACAGATTTCCAGTGTAAAAGTCACTTTGACTAATTTTGTTCAGGCTTGTGCTTAAAATGTTAATAAAATCAGATTTTCTGTACTTGTGCGGTGCATGGGACAATTTTAATTTCTAGTAAATAACATATTTTTTTTATAGAAGCTGGTGTTGATGGTGATGATATGAAGTTTGTCCAAGTGATGAAGTCCACTCAGGTTTTAGTTGCAATCACTGAATAAGGTGTTTATTTGATATATCAGTGCAAATACCCTCCAAATTATAATGTAACATATTTGCATTTCCTCTAAGACCAGTTTTGTTTTTGTTTTGTTTTTTGTAATGACAACTTACTAAATTTTACAGTGTGGTGGAGTTGAACCCAAACATGGGATAAAAGGAGGGATGCAGTTTGGACAAGCTAGCCACTTCATAGCTTTTCAGTTTTTACACTTACAGTGGGGCAAAAAAGTATTTAGTCAGCCACCGATTGTGCAAGTTCCCCCACTTAAAATGATGACAGAGGTCAGTAATTTGCACCAGAGG